CATTCTTCCAACCTGGAGACACGCAGGGAGTTATAGGTGCTCTGATATTCCTCATCCACCCTAACAGAGCCGATGGGGTGGTTTGGCTACTGAATATGCAGCTCCAGTGGCCTCATCACCCAAGCCTGCTCTTTCAGTGCCCTTAGTGCTTTGTTTTTGTTAAAACCCTCTGGGCGTGAGATGTGGGACCACATGGTGAAACCTGGGAGTGCTGCGGACTTGAGACTTCAGCTTGGTTTGTCTGTCTCTAAGTAGTCAAGTCTAAATTCAAGTTCCCTCTTGAAAAAACACTTCCCACCAAGGTCCAAAAGGCCAAAGCTGAAACAATTTGAGCACCAAAATAAATAATGAGAGTAGTGGATTATAAAAGCATAGAATAAAAACAAATATTTGTAAGTGCATACTTAAATAAATAATTGAATACCTTAATAAGTGAGGGATGGAGTGAACAGTAGAATTCTGATCAATACACGTAGAAGAAATGAGATAAACAGAAAATCTTGCTTAGGCAAATGCTATAGTAGTAATTGTTTCAGATGACATCCACCAGTGGACGCTAAAATCAGAGGGCCAAAGTCTGTGGGGAAATATTTATAAAGTCTCAAAATGTTTTCTCCTAAGATTAATAATTGCAAAAAGGAAAAATAGTACCATTGCAGTGAAGAAAACTCAGAGATACTACTTCTAGCACATGGTCAAGGTTAAAAGTGCAGTCATAAGACATGGACATTATGGACCCCCCCTTTTTTTTTTGGACCCTTTGATTTGATGCCCTGAGAAGGTGTGTTAGGGTTCCCCAGAGAAAAAGACCAATAGAAAAATGAAAAAAAAATTTTTAGTATAACAATTTAGTATAAGGAATTGGCTCATGCAATTATGGAGGCCGACAGGTCCTCGATGTGCAGGGTGAGTTGGCAAACGGGGACCAGGATGGGTGATGGTGGAGTCTGAGTCTGAAGGCCCACAGGCTCGAGACCCAGGAAGAGCCACTGTTTCAGTTTGCGTCCGAGGGCAGGAAAAAAATGCACGTCCCAGTTTGAAAGTGGTCAGGCAGGAGGGGATTTTTTTCTTGCTTGGAAGAGAGTCAGCCTTTCTGTTCTGTGCAAGCCTTCAACTAATGAGATGAGGCCCACCCCCAGCCCAGAGGGAAATCTGCTGAAATGACTCTTACCACCCAAATGTCCATCTCATCCAAGAACACCCTCACGACAGCACCCAGAATAATGTTTGACCAAGGAACTCAGCACTCCATGGCCTAGTCAAGTCGACACACAAAATTAACCACCGCAGAAGGGTGCTGTACTGCTTACGTGGTGTTCCTGCAGAAATGTACCACCTCCTCTAACCATAAAAAACCTTCGTCAAACCTAGATTGGTGGACGTTTTACAAAATAAATGACTAGGATTTTGTAAAAGTGTCAGGATTATAGAAGACCAGGGAAGGCAACAGTTTCACAGGTTGTGGAGACTAAGGAGAAATGACAGCTAAATGCAATGTGAGATCTTGGATTGGATCCCGGAGCAGTAAAGAACATTAGTTGAAAAACCAATACAATTTGAATGACGTCTGTAGTGCGGTTAATAGTATTGTATTAATGTTAATTTCTTATTTTTGATAAACGTGCGGTGGTTATATAAGATGTTAATATTAGCAGCAGCTGGTTGAAAGGTATACAGCAACTCTGCTATTTTTATAACTTTTCTGTTAGTCTAAAATTATTTCAAAATAAAATGTTTTAAAAAAGCTTCCTGCCATTGGGCACTCTAAGGACTTTTTAATAACAGGGGTTATTTTTATGTTCTTTAAATTTATAACTGTTTTGCGTGTACACTCATATAACTTTGTCTCTGCCATTCATTGTTTCCACAAATGATAAAGTCCATCAATTTTGTTTGCTAGCACCTTTTAAAAACCGGGAGACTTCTGGGTTCCCCCCCATACATTCTGTATCCCTTACTGGCTAACACATCTTTTTGTAAACATTCACAGCTCAGCCCCCTCGCCGTCCCACAGGTCTTTATCTCTGGGATGATGACCCACATGGCATATTGGGCCGAGCAAAGGACGCTGGGCCGGAAGTCAGGAGGCCTGGGCGCCAGCTTCCTTAGCGTCTGTTACTAACCCAGTCAGTGTCCTTCCAGGTCTAGTCGCTGAGGCCAGTGGCAAATTTGGGCTGAACACTAGATGCACTAGTGTACACATGGTTTCAAATGATTATATTTTTATTATTTTTTCTTTTTATCAAGGTCCTGTGAATTCTATTTGTAGGTGTCTGAAGTGTTTTTTAAAATCAATGTACATTTATCCTCCTGTCCTTGGATTGTATAGTGGGCTTAACAATTCATAGACTTTATTCTTCTGGCATTTCCCAGAGGCTTTTTAGCAATTTGAAGAGACTGACATTTTTGTTTCTTCTTCTTTTGATTAGAAAGCTCTCCTCAGATCTCTGTGAAATGGTGTGTAGCCAGCTCTTCTCACAATAGTCTCTAAAAGTCCTCTTGTGGCTTCCAGGTGGTGAGCTTCCCCATTCAGGCCTTGAGTGGCTGAGCACTGGCTGGCACGCCCCTCCTGTACTAGCAGGGTGGTGGGCCGAGAGCCCTGGGCCCGGGGCCCCCTGCCTGCCTACAGCACTGGTGCCAGCACGGGTGTGGCTGAGGCATGGAGCCAGCGGGACATACTGCTATGAAGTAACTGACACTCTTGAGAACAAATGATATGCTTAGTTTCTCCTTGTTCTTTTTGCCTGGGTTAGTATTTTTCCCTTGCATTCCCAGTACTTGGGTAGTGGGTTTAGATCCCAGTTTAAAATTCAAATGATGGAGAAGTTGGTTGACAGGGGAAGACACCTAAGGGCTCTAGCATGGACAACTTGCTTGTCCTCACTGGAAAAGACAGTTTGGTTAGGTTCAGCGTATTGTACTAGTGTGGGTGATTCCTTGGTCCATGTGGAAGATAGAGTGGAAATGATTTTTTAAAATATCACCTCCAGCTTCACACAGTGGGCTTTTTGTTAATTTTTACTTTTTAAAACTGAGAGGTAAATGACATACAATATTGTGTAAGTTTAGGGTTGATTTGATGTATGTGTAAACTGCGGTGTGATTGCCAGCGCAGGGCTCACCAACATCTCCGCCCACCTCCAGCTTCGTTTGCATCGGTCTGTGCACTTGCACCCCCCCAGCTTGCTTATGCATTGTCACCAGATATTTAACTTTCTGGGCTTGCCACTCAAGAACAGTGACGTGGGCGGATATTTGTAGCATATAGCAAGGAGAACCGTGCCTGGCATGTAGTAAACACTGTGTCAGAGTTTGTTAAATACAAAGAAGAAATCACACTTTCAAAGAGCTCGCCATTAAGTTGGAGAGATACAACAAACACATGAAGAACAACCAATGTATAGAGCAGAATGGAACTCAGAGGCCTGGATGAGAAGAGGCAGGACCTATCTGCTGCGGGCCCCCCTCAAGTCATTTCATTTATTTTTCTAAACAATTAGTGATGTTTTCCCATTTCATGGTTCAAGAAACTGAGGTTAATGGGCATTAAAGGACTTAAAGTTCTCTAAGGCTGTACACGTGCAAGTGAAGTTTGAACCTAGGGCTGTCTGAAGTAAAAGCCCCCATTGCCACCAGATAGATGAACACAAAAAGCTTTGAAAGGAGGCTTGAGCCCGACCTCAAGGGATGGGTGGGATTTATCCTGTGTAGAGAAGTGGGGAGCATGTAGGTTTTTCAGGGCAGGGAGAAGGGTAAGCATAGCATAAGCAAAGGTGTAGCAGTAGGAAACATAAAGTGTCCTGGATCATGCGGGGTGTGCCCTAGATTTGCTAGAGAAAGAGAGGAATGCGGGCTAAAGCTGCAATGTGGGTTGGAGGCAGAGAGCTTGGATTCCAAGTTTGGACTTTATTTCATAACCCATTTTGTAAACCATTAAAGGTATTTGTGAGAGGGGGTGATATGATGAGAAAGTGTCTTGGAGATTTCAGTTCAGGGGTGTGGGGTGGACTGGAGACCCAGAGGGACTGTCACCATGCTGGCTGATGTTTACTGAGTCGCCCAGATATGTGTTAGGTGCTTTCCGTGTATTCTGCCATTTCATCCTCACAACAACCCTGAGAAATGCGCACCGTTAACATCATCCCCATTTTCCAGATGGGAAAACTGAGGCTTTGAGAGGTTAAATAAGGACCAGGCTTCCACAGTGAAGTCCAGGATGTGAACTAGGTAGATCACTTCCTGCTATGCTGCCTCTCTCTGCTGCAGCACCCGACGGTAGCCCAGGAGACAAGCTTGGGGTAATTTTCATAGGTCAGATGTGATAGTTAAGGTGACAAGGCCTGAGGTAGGTCACAGTGGTAGTGGGAAAGAGGGATGGGAGCAGAAGTATGAAGCATCCGTATATCAGAGCCTGGTTCTGGGCCCGAGCCTGTAATCTGACAGCTCTCCCTTAGGTAGTGTTTCCAGGGGAAGCTGGTGTCAGTGGTGAGAACCTTGCCAAGACCAAGAGGTGTCATGGAGAACCGTGCCTCCAGACTTCTTAGATAGCTTAGGCCTCTCACTTTCCCCAAGGAAATGTATTAATTTGATAAAGTAAGTGCTGAGGTTGGGTGTGCTTGGCTGGGGCTACTTGTGAGAAGGTTTAAGCGAACTTCCAGGGGTTCTCAAGCTTCAATCCCTAGAAGTGGAGACAAAGAAGTTCCCCCAGAGGTCTGAGGGGGATTGGTTGTCCTTTTTATAAACCTCCTCCCATATCTGTTTATCTTGATACCTTCCCAGTTACTTCCCTACTTCATTGTTGTATGGGTTGATATATCACAGAATTATTTCTTTTACTTTTGTTTCTAATTTTTTTAAGAAAAAGGGTGCATGCATTTTGACTCTGCAATGTTTTGGATTCACGCACAGTTAAATGAGCGTATAACGCAAGTGTGCTGAATGTCTGTGACTGTGGGGGGTGGTGCAGGCCAGCAGTGACCTCTCCGTTCTGTCTGCTGCAGGTGACAAGAAGTACATCATGGGGCCCAAGCTCTCTACTCTTGACGCCACTGTCTTTGGACACTTGGCACAGGCAATGTGGACCTTACCTGGGACGAGGCCCGAGCGGTTGATCAAAGGCAAGCACTACAAACCTCTTCAGGTTTTGGGAGTTGCTGAGAGGGTGCAGGGTTGGGTGATACAACGGAGAACTCCAGGCCGATGCCTGTGAGCTTGCTGGTGCTTTATGGAGACACCGGGCTGTGGTACCCAAAGCCAGGATCACTTTTCTGTGCTCAGGATATGTCCAGGTGGAGGACAGACTGAGATTCTCACTTGCCATCTTGTTCACAGTGTGTCTGGCAAAACTGACACAATTGTGCCGTGTTCTACACCAGGGCTTTTCTCCCAGATGCTTACACGGTAGATGGAGCCTTTGTTGCTGAAACAGGACTTGAATTCTACCGAGTGCCCTTGTTTTGTTGGCCTTTGTTACAGTCCCTGGCACGGTGGCTGCCTACCAATTTCTGGCATATCCAGTGCCACAGTAAGCACAGTGTGGTGGGGACGATGGGCTGACTGCCCATCTCAGATGCTCTTTTTGTCTTACTTGATCTTACATATCTCACATGTAGGTAAAAGTACATGATCCTGTGTCATTTGAGTTCAAAGCCCTCCTTTCTCCTGTTTCAGTGAAGTGTCTATAGATCATACAGGCAATGAGGAAAATGTCAATAAATGCTTTGTAAATCTGGTGCTATGCAAAGTTTTATTGTTAATATTATTATACGTTCATTTTTACCAAAGAAACACAATCTTGTATCTTCATTGTGTGATCTTGGCTGTAAGGCCATCAGAAGTACACTTCTAGACTGGAGGGGTAGAAGTGGGGATGCCTGGGACTCGAGCTGGTGGATGGGCATGAGGGTGGTAGCCAGAAGTAAATTCACATTGCCACAGAGCAGGGAAAATCAGGGCTGATGTCACAGAACCAGGTCTTGGCCTGTGTGCCTGCCTGCGTGTGTGCTTTTGCACGTGTCTGTGTGCGGTGGAGTGTGGTGGGGGACAACCAGGGCAGCCCGGGCCCCTGGGGGAGGCTTCCCTCACAGCGCTGGGTGGTACTGTTTAGAGTCATCTCCACTTTGAAGCAGTACTTAAACACGTGCCTGGGGGCTGGGGATGTGGGGACCAAGGTTCAATATTTAGGTTTGGGTAAGCGGATTGATTGACAAGAGTTAACTGAAGTGTTTATGGCCCAGTCGAGCAGGCTGGAGGTGTAGATGAGCTCACTAGTGAATGGCAAGGCAGAATTGTACAGGAATTGAGGCAGGTAAGCAGTCGTGGGTGGGTGGGTGGGGAGGTTGGCTGGTGAAGGGTGTAGCTCTGTGTGTGTATGTTCATGTGCATTCAGGTGCGTGCCCAGAAATTCAGAGCAGGCTGTGGGGGACAGGAGTCACTTTTCAGATCCTCCTGTTGGTGAGGCTGGGGCTCCAGAAGCATGACCAGGTTTGGCTGGGATGGTTTAGGCATAGATGGAAGGTCTTCTGGGACTTCAGCTGAGTGGGGTGAGAGATAGTGTGGATTGATATCTAGCTTCCCAGATAATCAGCATGGAGATGTTCCTTGTCTTGTGATGTGTTGGAACTTATCTAAATTGAATACGTTGTCTTATTGGTGATATTTATAGCTTTTAAAATACTGGTTTTCCATTTTAAATCATGGTGGTCTACAGTAGATTGATTCCTTTTAGTTCATGTTGGAGTGTGTTTTATATTTACTCTCCCTTCTTGTTACTTGCTACTCCCTCCCTGTGTTTCTCTGCCCGGCCACCTCTCACAGCCACCAGCACACGCCCACAGCTACTTACGTACTTCTATACACACACGCACGCCCCCACTTGCTTGTACACATAAACTTACACTCCTGACCAAGCACATTCATGTGCGTGCGCACACACACATACACCCTATGCGTATGCACACACACATCTCTTAAGGTCTTCAGTTATTTAGTCAGGAGCATTTAGGAATCCATCATCAGTGGCACTCTCAGATTCTATAGCATTGCTACTTACAGAAATGAAGCGTCTTTTGTTAATTTATTTATGACTTGGCCCTTACTTCTGTTACTTCCTGGAAGGCCCTGCAGCACTGAATGTTCCTGTTAGAGCAACGATCAGCCTTTTGGAGGCCTGATCCCAGTCCCACCCTGAGACACACATTTGGGGGAATCTGACACCATCATCTGCAGGGGACTTCTGGCACGCGGTTGGATGTGCTTTGATTCTTGAAACAAATTAGGAGCTTCCAGCTCTCCCTGGGGACAGGGGTAGCACCAGTTATTAAAGTGCGGAGCATCTCTAAATCTCATTGGAGTCATTAGGCCCCGGCTCCTTCCAAACATTTTGATCTGAACTGCTAATATGCAGGCACACTGCTAATTTGGTCTCAACTTATTTCTCTGCCTTTTTGTGGGGGGTGGGATGGAAACTTTCCCAAGAAGTAACAAGAGAAAGGAAATGTAGGAACAAGCAAGAGCCTGGCTGAGTTGCAACTGGCTCAAACCCAGAAGTGTGAAAGGCTCGGATGAGGCAGATTTCCGCCTCAGCTGTGGGACACCGTATGTGTGTGTGTAAATATTAGCTTTTCGTTCTAGATCTTATTCACAGTATCTGGCCACACAAGCTACTTCTGGAACTGCTAGGTTAGCAAGAAATATTCCTTAATTTAGGTGAGTAAAGGACAGGCTGTGAATATTCAGTAATTCTTAAAATATTTATGTGTTTGTTTATATATCTACCTCTGTAGATGTAGATATATACAATATTATTTCCTTACTGGAGAAAAGTTAGAAAAGATAGAAAAGTTAAAAAAATTAAAAAAAAAAAGTATGACCCTATCACTCAGAGAACTGCTATTAACATTGTGGTATGTATCCTCATTTTTTTATCAAGCATATGTATGTCTATATTTTTAAAAATTGGGATCATGACATGGATATAATCATAGCCTCCAGTTTTTACATTGACTATGTATTATTGCCATTTCCTTTGTTATTAAATATTCTTCAAAACTATTTAGTAGTTGTATAATATCCTATTCCTATGGCTACATTATAATTTATGTAATTAGTCTTTTCTGGACTTGTGGGCTACCTTATGTAATTTTTAGTAACATTCTTTAATGACTATTGTATAAGTATATATTAGTGCTTATTGCTGGCTATTTCCTCAGATTTCGAGTTGGGAAGTTACTGTCTCAAAGGACATAAGCTCCTGGTCTGTATGGCTAAGTTGCTTCTAGAAAGACGGTTGCGGTTTATTCTCACAAGTATTCTTAGCACTTCAACTTTGTTCCTCAGTTGGTCAAATGTAATTTATTTTGAAATTTTTGCCATTTTTTAATCAAAAAAGAGTATCAATTTTATCATCACGAATGCTCTTAATGAGCATTCACATTGGCTATTTTGCTCAGGGTACCCTTATTAGAGAAACGCAGGCTGACTCGGGCGCTGCACAAAGCAGACCCGGAGAACTGGGGGGCCGAGGAGCGTGAACCCGAAGGGACGGAAGGGGAGGGGCTCGGCGAACCCTCTGCTCACCCGGCAGAGCCACATCCAGACCACAGCACCTAACTCGGTTTTTCTGAATTTGTGAGAAATAAAACCTCTCTGTTCTAAGAAAAACCTTTATCGGCCACTCTTTTACCAACAGTTATTTATTACATTTTTTCTTATTATTTGATTGTTTAAAAGGTGGGAAAATGCCAATATCCTTGAAAAACACGTAAGTGCCCATTCTTCCTGTTCTCCACGTGGACATTCCCAGGAAGAGGTTGTTGGGGGCACTCAGGCCCCAGCATAGGGCTGGCTCAAATGACTTTGGGGGGTCTTTGGAGTTTGAAGTCTACGAGTTAGTATCTTTCAGCTTCAAGGCGATGAGGGCGAGGTGGTGTCCTCATTAGAGCATTCAGGTTTGCTAAGGACCCTTCTGAGAGGACAGTCTCAGTGGCCCCCACCTGTGTGGCAGAATGCGAATGGAGCATCCAAGGGCACGGGCCAGCATCTCGCACCGGTGTGAAGCCGGGAGGTGCTGAGCAAATGCCTGTACGTCAGGTGCGTGGTGCCAACTCCATGTTTTCCCGATACTTGCCGGTTCATGACCAGGGCTGAGCAGGTGGTGCTGGGAGATGCTGGGAGATGCTGGCAGGCCCCTGTCTCACTCGCCTTCCCGCCTGCCATGCGTGATCGGCAGCAGGAGAAACTGAGCCCTGGGTTCTGGGTCTGGTTGACAGTGTTTTCAGTGTCAAGTTGGACTCAATGTTTTTGAATATTAGAGAAATTGGAATGTCATGGGAATATAAAAAAAGTCACTTTTTTTCCAGAGTGTTCAGGGATATTTCTATTTGAGAAACTCTAGAGAAAAGCTCTTTATCTGTCTGGGAATGTGCTCTGGTTATAGGGCCATTTGGCTTTCTGATAAATATCTTCTCCAGGTGTTTGAGAAGATCACTAATCACTCATTGGTATTTTACTAATTTATTTTATTGGATTTTTATTTATTGTCACAATAAGTTGAATAATATAGGTGTATTTTTAAAGATTTATGACTCCTCATCCATGTCCAATATCACCCCCCTCCATGCAATAACCTATACTACAGATTTGGAGTAAATCCTCTGTGTCTTTCTTTTTTATCTACAAATTTATGTACATATATATAGCTATTTTGGTGTGTTTTTACTATTTTAAAATTAAATGATGAAATTGCATTATATATATTACATGCTTTTATTTTAGTAGAGTCCTAAAAGTGGTCTGATACCTACAGTTAAAATTTCAATAGGTAACATCAGATTACTTTCCAAAGATGTGGCCATTTAGACTTCTACCAGCCATGCAGTACAGTGCCTTATCGTTTACATCGGATATCATTAGACTTTAATTTTTACCAGATAGATGAAATTGTTATCTGATTGTTGAGTACACTTCGACAATGCAGTTTTTCTGTTGTTTCACAAAGTTTACATCTTCATTACAGGCATTTATGTTAATAGTCAACTCTCCCCCCTACCCCCATACACATACTATATACGACCTATTTCTACTGATGACTTTTTCTGTTCTTTTGGCTGGTAGGCACGTTGACTGGGTCTGCTGAGGAGAATCTGGGTACAGGAAGGGTTGGCAAAGCCAGATAAGTGTAGAAGTCAATTACAGACTTTCACTCTTTATAAGGGGCAAGACCTGAGGATGGGTGTGTGAGCTCCCAGTCCTTGCGCATCAAGGCAGACAGACCCTTTCTTAATGCAGGATGGAATAATCACTTCCTTCATGACAACACATTATCTTGGAGGGGCAGCATCTTACAATTCTTTGAGACCCTACAAAAATACTCTGTGACAGATGGTGCAAAGCTGTTAATTCCCAGGCCGACTGTCAACTCACCAGTAGAGAGGCAGAGTTGAGTTGTAGTGGAGGTCATAGAGGCTGGAGACGGCTTCTGTTTGAATCCTGCCTCTGCACTATCTAGAGCTTGACCTTAGTCACCTCTCTGCCACAGTTTTCCCATTACAGAGGGGATAATATTGTTTCCTGCCTGATTGAGGATTTTTGCGAGGGCTAAGGGAGTTAGTGTGAATTCAACAGTGAAAAAAACACTTCAAGGTACACAGTAAGGACTATGTGTCTGTCTGCTAGTCTTATTAATTTTTATTATTGCACACTAAGTGGTATTAATGTCACACAGTCATGAAGGGGGCAGGTCTCCTGGGAGAAAGGTAAAGCCACGGGCTGTGGAGAGAACAGCTGCAAAGGGAGTGGATAGCGTCAGAGATGGTGTAGTAGTTCCTGTGGATCTTGTGACTAGATTCTGACTTCTAGCAGCTCCGAGGGAATGGGCTTGAGTGAGGCAAACAGGTCACTCCCCAGTCTTGCTGTGGAGTGACCATAGTCCATTTTTGATGTCTTCCCCATCCCCACCTCCTTGCTGTTGCCTACACAGCTTCATCCTCTTCTTGGTTACCAGTGACTGGCAGCAATGCCTGGGGAGGTGCATCGCATGACTGCTTCCTTGAGGGAGAGGAAAAAAAGTGAAGGTTTTGCATGCATCTTTCCAAGAGGGACAGTGACGTTGGCTTTTCTGATTCTGACTCTTTAGCGTGTACATAAAAATCTCTGCATAGGGAGCCATCAGAATGGGCTCTTACACAGGGTGAACTGAGCTGCTGTGATCGGATAGGACTGAAATGGTGGCCTGGAGCCAGCGCAAGAACAGTGGTTTCCAGGGTCCACGAGGCAGGGAGACTTGCTTTATTGTGCTTGGTGGGGGTGTGTTTATTTAAGCAGAACAGCGATCAAGTTTTGAAAAATTTTAATGACATGGGAATACATTTGCATTAATATTATAGAAAGTAATAGGTAATAATAATGACAATAAAAAAATAGAAAAAATACTGAGATAAATGACATCAAAATGTTGATTCTGATTATCTCGGGTTGATGAGATTATAGATCCTTTGTGTTTTCTTCTTTATAATTTATAGTTTCTCTATTCAGACTTCTAATTTTCCAAAATGGGGATATATTATTTTTTTGATAGAAAATAAAATAGAGTAGTTACAGGTTGTAATTATACAGAAACAACATAAATGAGCCATGACAAAATAAAACTATAGTACATTTGTATAATGAAATGCTATGCAATTATCAAGGTGGTGATAGTGTGAAACAGACATTTTCATTATATCTTGTTAAGTGGAAAAAGTAGGATAGGAAACAGACTATGTGGTAAAATGCTACACAGCAAATGTAAATATATATAAATGTATGTATACATATATAATGTTCTGGAAGAATGTAAATGAAAATACTATAGAGAATAGGATTATTGATAATTCTTTTATTTTTTCGCTTACCTATATTGTCTAATTTTCTGCAGTAAAACATAGATTATTTACCTACCTAATAAATGAATGTTTATATAACTTTAAAAACATAAACATCCAAAGAATATTTTTAGCGCAATGAAGTCCTGTGAGACACAGTGACAAATTACATGTTTATGAGCAATGTTGCCATCTGGTGGACTAAAGGCAAAAGCTCACCCTTCCTCATGTGAAATGAGGAAATGAAAGCCCAATACTGTGTCATGTTTCAGACAAATGCCTGGCTGGTTTTGGTGACTCACCCACCGTGTTCCTTTGATTTACGTGAAGAAGAAGTAGTTCAGTCACTGAGTGGGAACCCAATTGTGGATGCAGCTGTAAAATTTAATTAAAAAAATTAAAAATGTATTTGCTTTACTGTCGGTACTACACTCATCCAAGAAGGTAATTCTGAGTTATCCACTTTATGGATTATTTAGAGGAAAGTTTCCATCTCAACATAACATTTCTCAACCACTTGGCCCAGTATCCAGCCTGTAGTAACACTACACATATTTGTGGGATGAATGATTACTTCTGGTTTGTTTAATCCAATGATCAGTTGCTGTGTTTTCACAGACCACGAATTAATTTAAATATGAATGAGATGAAACCCTAGTTTTCTTGATATGTAAACATAAAATATTTAAGTGCTTCACAAGCCAGATTATGATGGTGTAGCCACCATTTTGGATAGACCACCACCCCCAATATGTCATCTTCATAGGACTCAGTCCTATGTGTCTCCCAGCCCCTCACTGAATTTAGCTTTTCCCATTTACCTTTCTTATTATGTGTAGAAAATCTAAATATTTTGACAGTTCCTCTTTGGAAAACATTTTCAAAGTCTACCCGCCCTGTTCTTCCAAATTTCCCAGAAGGCCAGGTGGCGGGCAGATGGCGGCCTCTGAGAACTAACCCTCGCTGTCCTTGCCACACTGCAGGTGAGCTGATCAACCTCGCCATGTACTGTGAGAGGATAAGGAGGAAGTTCTGGCCGGAGTGGCACCATGACGACGACAACACCATCTATGAGTCCGAGGAGAGCAGCGAAGGCAGCAAAACCCACACGCCTCTGCCGGATTTCAGCTTCTACTCAAGGACAGAGACTTTCGAAGATGAGGGAGCAGAGAACAGTTTCTCCAGAACCCCAGACACGGATTTCACTGGACACTCGCTCTTTGATTCTGACGTGGACATGGATGACTACACAGACCACGAACAGTGCAAGTGACGTTCAGCCCCGCCGGCCCGTTGCTGCTGTGGCTGCCACCCCGGGGCTCGGTCCAGTTTCCCAGGTGGAAATCCGTCTGAGCTGGAGGAGATCTTCGTGCTTGGCACAGTTCTCACAAGCTAGCTGGACTACAGCAGCCTTATTTCTTTTTTGTACAAACAAAACACAGAACCATTCAGATGGCTCCATTTCAAACAAACAGGCAAAAAAAAAATTGTCAGCATGGTTCCTGAAATCCATTTTTGTTTTCATTAGAAAACTAATATCGTGAGGTAGACCAAGTGCAAGAGCAGGTTTTCCTCAGATTGTTTATGTTGATCCTCTTTAGCCTGAGGGCTTAGCTGTGAGATGAATTCTTGAACATCCTTCATTCAACAGGGTTTGAAGTAATGGGAGATGGCATCAGAAGAAATGTAGGAGATGAATGTTCTATGCTGTTTGTCTTCTCTGTGTATATTGTATGTCGAGATATAAGTCCAATAAAATCCATAGGTATTCAGTGAACACCTGCTATGTGCAAAGCACTGTGCTAGGTGCTAATCAGTGTAAGTTTTTCTCTAAGCCCTGCCGGTGACTAGCTGTGTGATTTCAGGCAAGTCCCTTAATTCTTGTGTGCCTCATTTCCCCCACCTGTATAGTGGGGACAACAATACTCTCCGCCTACCTACCTCACAGGGGTGTTGTGAGGGTTCAGGTGGTCACATTTGGAGCTTTACACCTCTTGGAAGAGGTGTGACATAAACACAACATTTTATTCTTGTGCTTCATAAATTTGAATATTTGAATTCACATTGGAAGGGTGTGAATTCTTCAAAGGCAATGGAATTCACATTCAGGCAACAGCAGCCACAGTCCCTCAAAAAACCTGAGCAAGTGAAACATGCAGACACAGTCAGGATTCGGTCATCATCCCTCTCGTGATCTTGTTTGAATCAAAATCTTTTGTTGAAAGAACCGTGGAAACATTTTCACAAATCATCAACAGCTACAAATAGTCTCTAATCATGTATGCTCACAGAAGCGCCTTTCTTTCATTGCCTGAATGCACACTGGAATGTCATCCTTTGCTGATTTCTGTGTATTAAGTTGCCTGTGTTTGCTTTATTTGGTGGGAATAAAGCTCAGGAATATGATGGGCTTAATGGAAGTGGAGGAGAAAGTATTTGGTTGATTTTTGTAAGCAGAAGTTGCCAACTTGTAACGTCTTTTTGAAAACACACCGGGGGGGGGGGTGGTATTGAAAAGGGGAAGGAGGAGGAGGATCATGTTATTAGTATCGGGCACTGTGTGCAGTGTAGACTCTATGCAGTTATATTAACGCAGCTTTGCTGGCGTTCTCAGCCATGGCCCAGTGAGAGGGGGACAATGCTGGGGACAAAATTTAGTGTTTCTTAAGGGTCCCTCGTTCCCTCCCCACACTCCACCCTCCCCTTAGTGCCCATGAACTCTGTATTTACTGTATATACTAAGGCGCTCTATTGCTGAAGACACAGTTTTTGTTGACTTAAAACATTTTTTCATTGAAATTTAGGTTGAAATTAAGCTCCTGGGGTGGTGGCTGTGGATTTGGGTTAATAGACTCAGTATTGAGATTTACAGCTGCAAAGCTTATGCTCTGCTTTGCTTTGGACAGAATGGGTAAGGATTTGTTCATGATGGGATTAAAGAGGCATTTCTCAAAAGACAGCAATCTCTTCTGAGAAGTTCTTCAGAAAGACTCTTTGAATATAGCTTTTGCAAAACCTACGATGGTATGGATTCACAGAGACATAAGGCGGGGGAGTTTTTGAGGATTTTTACCATTTAAACAACTGTGTAGGGGATATGGAACTGGAAGAAATGCTGACATACCTTATTCTTCAGATTACTTTGTTGTTAGTATCTTCTTAAAATGACTTATTTTTGGGAGGACTGATGCCTACGGAGAATGTAGTGGCGAAGATATGAATGGATAAACCTATTTTTTGTCTCCAGTTTCATTTGGAAGGACTGTTTGCTGCTTTCTCTCACTAGCAACTGTGTCCCGAGGCCACCTGGAGGTAGTTCTGTGTGACAAGGGACGCTCCGGACCTGAAAGTGTGGATGTAATGAACAGGTAGACTATGGACCTGTCTCCATAAAGACTGAGTCACCCTTTCTCCACCCACACCTGAAAAGAGTTGTGTTTGAAATTTTGCCTACAATTTATTCTTGTATAGCACTGTTTGATGTATGTCCACTCCAAGAGTGATCAAGTTATGAGTCTGTAGATTCAAAAATACGTATTTTTTATTATGTTTTACTTGGAGAGCCAGTATGTGGAGAGCCACCCTTCAAAGGGAAGTTGTGGAGCAGTTGACTCCATCCAGGTAACTCCCACAGGAGCATGAATGGGCGCTGTCACCAGGGGACTTGGGTCCTGGCCTGGCAGCTCACGATGGGGTCGTCAACATTTTGCAGGTGCAAGTTGATTTGGAAGCCTAAAACATATTCAGGTTTTACTTTCCCAATAATGTAATGGAGGAAGCAAAATGACCAAGACAAAAATCACAGTAGTGGGGAATGACTTATGCGGTTTTTATTCAGAGGGCTTTAATTTTACGTGGTTTATTCTTAAGCTAGCCAGATTGGAAGCATGCTCCAATTTGATGAACAGGTGCTACTTATTAGAAAAATTAACATCAAGAAATTAGGGGATATTTTGGTCACCTGGCTCACTTGTTGAACGTCTGTGTTTGTTTTCACTGGAAAGTAACTGAAGGAAGTGTGCTCTTGGATGTTAACTTATGCTTCTGGTTGGACAGAAGAGCCGTGGGCCGCCTGCTTTGTTCTGCCTCTCACTGTGCAAACAAATTCTGCCCCTCTATCCACTTCCCTGGGCGCTCCCCAACCCCGCACATCCGGATTCATGAGCAGGGTAGTATGTTTTGCATATATCAGAGTAGATATAAGGACAATATAAATTTATACAGAAGTGAACTATATTGCTAGAGTTTATCATTTTGTTATTGTAACATAATGAATTGTGAACAGTGACATTACCAAGGCCACGGGCTACCTAGAGGACTGATCACAGACTTAGAGCAACTGGGACGTGAATCACAACAGATGTCTGGTCCTCCAGGGAGCCCTGCTGGTGTGTACTGAGGCACTAGGACAAGCTTTTGTGAGACAAGAGGGGTCCCAGAAAGGAAGTGTTGAGAATTAGTCTCATGGGTTTTCCTTGGGTTATTTGAGAGTATTGAATCATTGAAGTGTTTGGTGAGGCCATGGATTAGCTCTAGAAGGCCCCTTACGAGAGAGCCCTGAGGTCATTATTGACTCTGTCACTAAATATTTATTTGCAAGGCAGGACCAGGAACTGGGTGAGAGCTTTCACTTTGCCCTAGATTGTTCTTGTTATTATTCCACTTTGATTTGATTTCCTGTCAAAATACACATGCCCCGAGAGATCAATCCTAGAAGTTCCTAGAACTAGTACATTCCCAGCCTCCTAGAGAGTGCTTGGAATCGTCCACCTTTGTGCCCCATGTCTGTTCATCCTGGTTCAGGCCAATTCAGGAGACTGTTCTTCATTATCTGTTCTCTGCAAGGCACTGCTAGGCTCAGTGAGTGACACCAGGATTGATATCCAAGTCACCAGTATTCTTCATTCTTTGTTATTTATCTTTTAAGCATACATACCCATCTGCTCACTATCCACTGGACACCAACCCCATGTCTGGCCCAGGGGTCCACACTGGATTGAGTGAGGAACAGGGCAGATGTGTGCCCTGATTTTAGCGCATCCTCTTCTGGCTGGACTTCTGCAATAGCTTCTTCTATGTGCTTGTCCACTTCCCATCCCATGCCACCTATCACCATCAGGCCAGTCTTTGTAAAAAGCTCTAACCCTCATGGGGTGCCATACAGCCTCAGGACGAGGGTCACTCCTTAGGGCTGGGTAGCCTCACCTCTGTATTCACCTTGTCTCCTGGAGCTCCTTCATGCGAGATATCCAGGTACATCTGGGTTGGTTCCTTTGCTGTGCCCTAAACATGCCTCATGTGCCCCCCACTCTGTGCCTCTGTTCATGCCAGTCTCTCTCATGAAATGCTCACCCTTCCTCTCCACTGGCTCAACTCATCCTCACCTCTCAAGGCCCAACTTCACTGGTTCTGCAAGAAGGCGTATCAGCTCATTAAAATCTACCTTTACTCTAGAAAAACAACATTCATCATTTCCTTCCCTGAAGACTGCATGGGAAAGGTGTGCTCAGAAAGTGGTCCATAGGCTAGAACAGTGCTTTAAAATTTTTGTGTCTAATGAAAGTCCTATACCCTATTCCTAGAAAAATACCTATATGCAAATATATATAATTTACATATAAGTTAAGGGGATTTCAGAAACCTTTTGAAATTATCTGTGGATTCTTTAAAAGGTTCATGAACCCCAGCTGAAGAAGCTTTCTTCAAAGAGTCTTTAAAAATTGTCATTAGTGTTCTTTCTTGCCTTTAACATTTCCCAAGAGGAGAAAAATTGGAATGGGATGGGCAAGTGAAAGCAATCTTTATTATTATCCCTATTGAGTATGTTCTAAGTGACAGGGAAAGAAGGACGAAGATCTGACTTGCATTAATTGAGAGAATATCTTTGTCTCGATAGAGTTGGCATTTTGAAAGTGACGAGGTTTTGTTATCACCATTGTCATTTATCTATTAACAATCTAAAAGGTCAATCTATTAAAATTAGTTCAGGGCCAGGTGAGCTTCATTTGAGCCCTGAAACTCATCACTTTTGCATTGCATGGACAGACTGACTGGCCTGGCACTGAGGTGGGAGGGAGGAAGCTGGGTTTTTCCTTACAAGAAAAAGGCCTGCACGAGCAGGTTTTCCTGCATTCATTCATTCATTCATTCATTCATTCATTCATTCACTCATTCATGCATGCATGCATGAATCCATCCACACAATTGTTCAGGTATTTTCCATAAAAGGATAGTGACATTTGTTGGTAGGAAAAACTCAGGTTCTCTTCTTCTCCTCAATCTCTTCCCCTCTCCTTCCTCCTACTTTCAGGGTAAAGTTATTTTTGTTGCTCCTGACTATGACCCAGGTTGTTCTCCTTTACACAGTGCTGTTTAAGTTGAGTAAGAATTGATGGGAGTACATTCAATGAAAAATACTTCTGAGTCTAAATGCTGAACTCTAGCCACCCCTCTTAACAGGTCCAGGGATCAACTGCATGTGATTGGGGAGTGCTTGACTTTTATTCCATTTCTGCCAGTGGTTAGATAAAACTTTCAAAGTTCAAAAGGACCCCCTTGGTGAGTGAGGTAGGAGGTGCTTCTTGCCTGCAGAACTCCTGCTAGTGCCAGGATTTTCATCATTTGAATTCCTCACCAGAAATTCAGACATTCAGTCTTGACTTTAAAGAATATCTTTCCCCCCCTTCACTAAGGACATTTCTTCATTGCTTTTTTAGAGATAGAGAGGAAGGGAGAGAGAAACATTGATGTGAGAAACATCTATTGGTTGCATCACATACCTGCCCAGACTAGGGATTGAACGTGCAACCTTTCAGTTATGGGATAATGCTCCAACCAACTAACCCACACCAGCCAGGGCTTTAAAGAATATCTTAAAGATATTTAAGGTTTCTTCATCTTTAAGGTAACTTGAGGCAGCCACATAGTGGCCTTGCTCCTTAGAGAAGATTACAGAGAATACTGAAAAACAGCTGGAAGAAAAGTCACTCATTGACCGTGACCACCTCAATCACTCTGGCTCTTGATGAAGCAGAGAACTTGTCCGCAAACCAAAGCTCTCCAACTGCTGCTGACTAGACCAAACTAGGATGCTCAAATTTTTGAGGAATTTCTTCTTCATTAAGGGTGACGTGTTTGTGTAACTCCTGTCAAAGTGATTTCCCATCGAGTAATCGGTCTCATGGGATTATGCTTACTGTAAACATATGTTTTTTCCCAGTGACCTGCATCGTGCAGAGTATCTGACAACTCAAACGTTGATGATGAGGGTGATGGTTTCTTGGTGGTGATGGCTGTGAAGTTGAAGACGTCAGTCCTTTATTTGGTGGTATTCAAGTTCCACTGAGTAGGAAGAAAGAAGGAAAATGACAGATACAGGGGCTAAAAGCAACCAGTGGTATGGCTGTGGGTCAGAGGTGTCAGGCACACTGGGAGTTTTATAGGTTCTAGCATCTTACTAAAGTACAGGTTTTAAATTTAAAAAATACAATCTCCAGGA